TGCCCCAAGACATGGACTCCTTGATTAGAGGCTATTTCTCCTCCACTCTAGGCAGCCTTCGGGAAAGGGAAGAATGGGAGAAGAAGAAATACACAAATATCTATATTCAAACTTGCCTTTAGCTAAATCAACACCCAAGATGCCAACTTCACATCAAAGAAAGACCAAAAGCCACCAACACTTATATTTGACTACTCAAAGTAGTTTCCAGAACACTGATAGATTCTCAACATATTCTAATCACTATGGCCCTCAATTGGTCCGTAAAAAGGGTTTTCTTTCCTATGCTATTAATAAAGGGTCAATCAGAATATTTCTATCATTTTTGCTTAGGTTTAAACAAATGATTCCCACACTTCTAGAAAGGCCTTAATTGGGCCAGTCTGTTACTTTTAGTGTAATCTTGCAAAGGCTGGATTCTTTTTAAGTCCTTAAAGGACTTGGGCAAAATTCTTCAGTGATAATTTTTTTTTAAAGATCATCTCCAGAGTTTACATATGTTCCACAATTACTCATGCTGATAGGGGAGAAAAAAGCACATTTTATTTCCAAAGGCTCCTTCAATCTGAAAGCTCTAATTGCCAACATATCTGATATTGACTTCCTGAGTAAAACAACACACAAAACAAGTATAATCATAGGCCTTAAAAACAAGGCTTAAAACAGAGAAAGCTCAGCTTGTTTAGCCAGAGATGGGTACAGAAGGGACAATCTGTAATTTTAAAAGAAAGAAACACTAAAAGAAAACTTAGGCTAACTACAAGGAGATAATCTGTGATCATTGGTCTGGAAAGCTCAAAAAACATTTCCTGGAGAGCTTGTGAAGTCTCTTGAGAAAGATCAACTCTCTTGAGAAAGATTTAAGGATATGTGGAGGTGGAATGGGTTAAAGTAGTCAAATAGGCCTACTATACTAGGAGATTACATCTGAATATCGAAAGGATATTCCAGTCTTATTTTTTTAAGCTTTTAGCAATCTTCGTAAATCTAAATCATTCCTTTAATAAATTACAGAAATGACAAATACTTACCAAACAGAAAAACATTAACAAATATGTGAGCAATGAGCCAAAAATGCAACCAAATACCTCTAACATTTAAACAAGAGAACTGCCAAAGACTCTTTTTGAGACCCCAACTCTTAAAACTAACCTCAAGAGCATTCTCACAGAAATCCATACCAAAGGATCACCAGTCAACTAACAGTAAGATGTGACATTCTCTACAGAAAATCCTAGATGGCTTTCCTTTCTCATCTATAACCACAGGCTCCAGGTAAAACAAAAGGCTTTCAGGTGATATACAAAATGGGAGAAGGAACCATAGGACTAATCAGGGCATGAACTTCGGTTGGTCCTGGGGAATCACCCTGATCTAGAACTAGATAATGAGCTAAGAGATCCCTCAGACATCAAATTCCAGACACTTCTAAATAAATGACAAAGCTGGAATCTTAACCCGTATCTTTAGACTCTAAATCCCCTACACTGAGAGGTCACATTCCTCAGGGGTCCAAAACCCAAACTGAGTCATATCCTGACACATTTAGAGGTGCTGGTGAGAATTTCACATACCAAAGCCTCATTCAATAGGGCAAGCTCTCCAGTTAGAGACTCTTAAATGTAAAAATGGGTTTGAAGAACTGAGAACAAATTTTGGCTTTGCATTTTTTTTTGTAATTTTACAAAAAACAATGGCTGACTCTAACATTAATTAAAAGAAAATATCTCTAGCTGACAAACTTGATTTTCTGTCTGCTGCCCTTTTTTGTGTAACCTCCTGTTACCTGATATTCCTTGGTCCAAAAACCAAGTCTTCAGAGCACTGACACATCCAGAGGAAAAGGCTTAGAGAGTGCACAAGGAAGAGCAAGAAATCTAGATTGTATTCAAAGTGGGAGACAATTCTAGCAAAATGGCTCCACCCACTGCTGCCCTTCCTGAGCCCATTATCTGCAGAGAATCATAGGGCATGGCTATAAACTTGGGTATTCAATGGCCCTGTAAACTCCCTGGCTGTACATACAAATAATACAATTAACTGGTAAGAAATGTGCTGGGTAGAAAGAGCTTTGCACATCTCTAACTCCTGGCTTTCCTATTCCTTCTTAATTCCACACAGTAATCCTCCAAATGCATCCTATTGCTCCTCCAGAACAAAAAGTGAAATAACTATACATCTTCTCTTAATTGGTCTTATTAACAAGAAAGGTAATCTTAATTTATTTTTACCTTGCTAATACCAAGTTTTAAAATTCACCATTTTTAAGAAACAAGGGAATGTTGGGGGAAAAGGGCATCTCAACTCAAACAAGATTTTTAGGGCAGAAGCCTGAGTTTGGCAGCTCAACTTTGCCACTTAGGAAAGGCTCTTAAACAAATTACAACATTGATCCTGAAATGCTGTAATTTCAAGGGTAGTCAAGAAAGAAGAAACTTTTTGCCAAAGCACTGTAAACTTGTGGGGAACAGAAAGGACAAACCAGCAGCCGCACTGGTCCACAAAGACATTCCAGGTCAGCGTTCACCTGCCTGCACACAGCTCTTCTCTGAGATGCCAGGGGGGCGGGGGGAGCCTGGGGTCTGTGCAACTAGTTCTCACCCAGTGAAAGAAGCCACAGAAGAGTACGGGAAACGGGGCAGGAATTTACACACCCAGATACCCTGGCTACATTCACTTTTTGTAACCTGCTAATTAAGAACTACATTTTGCATGTTACCTGAGGTAAGTGTGTCACATTCCTATACACATTAATCTTCTAAAAACATTGCTTTGCCCATTACTTCTTTTCTCAAAACTCGTTAAAAGCTAGACAGTGTTAGAGGATAAAATTCTAGCTCCAGAGCCAGAATTCAAGCTGACCAGTCTGCATCCACTGAACCTGCCACTGCCCATTGTGGATTGCAGCAGTGGAAACACCAGCTTTAGAGTCGGACCACAGGGAGCTGGAATCCCAGCTCTACCACTTACTACTTGTGTGATCCTGAACACGTCACTTATCTTTTTGATCATCTCTCTCTAAAACAAAAATCCCCTCTCTACAGAACAAGAACAGCAATACCTACTTCACAGCACTAGAGGATGAAAGCAAGAATATGGCGTGTGGCGCAGAGTAGATGTTCAGTAAGCATTACTTTCCTTGCTAGCTCCAATCAAATGGTCTACTCTCTTCTCTTGAAAATTCTCCCCAGCACCTTTCCACTAATTTCAGAACCACACTTTGCCTCAAGGCCTAATTGAAATCCTTTCCCTTCCATGAAGCTACTCTGGCTCGTAATCATTTTCTCCTCTGAGCGTCTTTAATTATAATTCTAATATTCTAAGCCAACGGATCTGAAATTTTTATTCTTCTCTAATGTGTCACTCCTCATCCCCCAACAAGTCCACAAACCCAATAGCAAAAATTTTTATCAATTATCAAGCCAATCACAATTTTAGTGTTCAATAAAAAAATACTTTGAAGATACAGTTGCCTTGGGGTTGTCTACCAAAAACGGTTGCCCTTCTGGCCCAATTAGGGGATAATACCTCTTCCCATATACACTCAAGCAAATTTTCCCCATATCTTTGTGAGTTTTTCTAAGGGTAATACTTATTGGGTAAATGAAAATAAAGCCTTAATCCATGTAGTCACAGAGGAACTCTCAGCCAAGTCAGCAGAGTCCAGGAAGCCTTTACTTCACTCCATGCATTCAACAGGCTCTTTTCTGAGCTCTTGCTTTGTGATGGCCTCAACTCACCATGGGAGACAGACTATGAGCAATTTGGTCTTTACCTCTAATTAGCTTTCTGGAACCTAGACTATTTCTGACTCTTTAGAAACCTCTATTTCTAAAAAACCTCATCAGTGAAGGGATTCACCTTCTGAAAATATTACTTGGAACAAAAAGAAAACAGTCATACAGTCAGTTGGGTTTTAACCCTGTGGCCCTATCCTAAAATGGCCAGCTGAAGCATGTGCACATAAGAGATAGCTCAAAACAGTCCTGGAGATGGGCTAATGACCTCTCCACCGTTCCCAAGACCCTGCTGTCCAAGCAGCAGAAACACCTGCATGAGGATAAAAGCAAGAGCTGGACTAAGGCAGCATTAATGCAAACTCTCTCACTTAGTGCAGTTGTTTTACTCTTGTCCAAGTAATTATAAACCACGTTCTCGTAAAGATCCCAAGAAAATGCAAAACACTTTAGAAACACTTGAAAATGTTCAGTCTCTTGAATTCTACAATCTACTAAATTCTTTAATAAGGTAGCATAAACGTTGGCTAAAGTGTGTTCTTTTAGTCTTGGGTCACTTAAAAATACACCTTTAATACTTAGCGCACTTCAGAAGAAGGGCAAAAAAGAAAAGGTAATCATAAACATAGTTTAATTTGTTTAAGTGATAGAGTACAAAGTTAATTTTCCTTTGTTTGAGAGGGTGTGTGTGTGTGTGTGTGTTTTCGTGTGTGTTTTCGTGTGTGTGTGTGTGTGTGTGTGTTTTGTTGAAGGAGCCCGCACACAAACCACCACAGCGACAGGTAAGTGCTGCAGAGGAGCCTGGGCGCATCCAGGGGCTGGCACGCAGCTCACTCCCAGGACCGCCTGGGCTCCGGGCTCCTCTCCGAACTCCAAGGCTCTGCACTTCCCCAGACCCTAGTCTCCATGTTCCCCACCCCCAACCGCGCAGCCCCAGCAGAGCCGGAAAGTAGAGCTCGCCACGACCGCCCGGAGGGCAGCCCCCACCAGCCCAGCTCCTCTGCTCCGTCAGAGGCCCCCCAAGAGTCTGGCCGCCCGGACGCAAATACTCACAGAGCTGGAACACGGCCGGGGGCTAGGAATGGTGAATAGCGGGAAAAGGGGTAGGACTGCAGTGGCGGGGCAGGGCGCGGCAGGGGCAGAGCCGGAACCAGCGCCCCTCCAGCCCGCCACCCGGCCAGGAGCAAGGCACCGGGCATGCAAGCAACCTCTCGGCGGGAAGACGGGCAGGGAAAGCCGGGGCGGGGGCCCGGACGCACTTACCTCTGCGCTCCCCAGCCAGACTGGGCGCTCGCACGGATGGAGGCTTGCCTGGAGCCGCGCAGACCGGAGGAGGAGCCGATCCGGTAGAGAAGGCGGTCGTCGGGCGGGCATCCGCGCCCGGGGCTGCGGCCGGGCTGGAAGGAGAGAGAAGGGAGGGAGCACAGATTTGAGTGGAGGGGGCGTGGAAGAGGTGTGCCTCCACCCGAGACAGAGAGGGTGGGCTGCTGGAGCCAGGAGGAGGGCTGTGCTCCGAGGCTCTGGAGGGAACCAGAAAACCCGCGCTAAGAGTGCGCAAGGGGGGGGGGGCGGGGATGGGAAGATGGGGGTAGGGGGCAGGATGAGGAGCTGGTCCTCAAACTGGACAGACCCTCACCTCGGCACCATCCGATCGAGGATTGTCTGAGTCTGGAGCAAAGCACAAGGGGGTCTGAAACTTTGTCATTTTCTCATACACACGTGACCCCCCTGCAATCCAGATGGTTTCAATCACTGGAGGAAAAAAGCGGCCCTGCTGGTATGCATGAAAAGACGGAGCTAGGAGAATCTGGGAAAAGCTGCCTGTACAGCCTGCCTGCCTTCAAACTAACCCATGAGCTCTTTTGGTTCTCCTAGCCCTAGGGTGGGGGAACCCTGCAAAACCCAAGAAGGCACACTGAAAGGAGCCACATTTGGTATTGCAGCAGCAGCAGCAGAACTCTCAAAGCACCAGGGCTTTCTAGGCGCCTTGTATGAACCGAAAGTTCTAAGGAAGTTCTGAGAATTTGTTTTAAATACTCCACTCGCTTGCAAAGCCAAAAACTAGACAAGGGTGTCATTAAAAAATAAGCAATGGAATACTAGCATTGAGAATCTGTGATTTATTAAAGGAATTCTGAAAGAAATTGTTTACCTAGTATGACAACCCACTTGAAAAAGAATAATGCAAATCATTTAAAATCCAAACCCATACATACTTGGTGGGATGTTAGGAAGCCATGTAACCCAACTTCTCATCTCATAAATCACTATAAATAGAACTTGATGTTGAAATGCACAAAATTGACTTTTACAAACCTAGCTACATTTTGAAGGAACAAACACGTATGAATGACCATAAACAGACTCTAAGGCCAGGACATGTTTCAAAGCCCAAGTCAAGTCAATCCTCACATAACCTAAAGAAGTATTACTCAGCTGCAGGGCAAGCCTCAAAAATAATGGAGAGTTTAAGACACATCTTGGAAATAATTCAACTTGTTCATGATCGAACAGAAATAGTGGCAAGAACCAAACTGATATTCTATTGTTCCTTTGCCAGAAAATGATATTGAGTTACAAGTATTAACTCATTATCTCAATAATATTGGTGCTAAAGGGTATGTTTGGCCTTTCTAGCAAAAGGCCTTCCATACAGTGTGACATAGCTGTCTGTGTGTGAAAAATATGTCAATCTTTGGTACAGTGAATTTATTCTACATTAGGAAAACCCAAGATTTCCACTTTTCTCTGGAAAACACAGGAAACAATTTGAAACTAGGCAAATCAAAACAAGTTTTACCCCAAACTTTAAATCTAAGTGAGTTTCTATTCTAGTTCACTGACATGCTTGAACCCTTCAGGAGACTTAGGCCATTTGGGTGGACTGAGCCTTCTCCCACCTTCTCCAACCTCAAATTATGGTAGAGAAGTTATGCAGAAGAATCCTCAGAAAACACAAGCTACAAAATTTAACAATGCTCCAGGCAAATGCCACCTGCAGCTCCCAAGCTCTGTATGGAGGTTCTTAAGTTTCTCGCTTCCAAAACTATTAAAACTTCTATTAAAGTTTTATTTTTCTTATGAGTGACACCTGTAAAGAAAGTCAACTCAACAGAAAGCATCAAGATTTTCTCCACTGGTGAGGAGGGTATAGCTCAAATGGTAGAGGGCATGCTTAGCAAGCATGAGGTCCTGGGTTCAATCTCCAGTACCCACTCTAAAAATAAATAATAAAACCTAATTACCTCCCCCTGAAAAATAATAAATACAATAACAAATAAATTAATTTTTTTAAAAAAGATTTTCTCCTTTCAGACCCAGGACAGTAACGTTTCATCTCTGGCAGCAGTTGCTGCTCCCTCTTACATGTGCTAAAGCGAAGTAAGAGGGCAATAATGAGATACAAACAGTTGTTCTTATTTGCCAATGCTTTGCAAATTATGCTTGGAAATTTTTTAATTCCTCAGAAAAACCTTAATTAGACCTACTCTTTCAGAAAGAAAACTAACATCCGTTAAACTTCTCTAAATATTTCTTGAGTCTAAACTCCACCTAATGCTAACCAAAGATTTATCAGAGACACTGACATCTGAAATGTTTTTAATGCTATTTTAAATGGTGCTAATTTAGTGATCTGCATTAACTTAATGTCCACAGCACCTGACAGACAAAGCCAACTATGTATGAACTGCTGAGGGAGAGACAAGCTCTATGAGGAGAAGGATTAGGTCTCTCTTGCTAAAAACTACATCCTATGTGTCTAGCACAGTGCCCAGCATGAAATAGGTGCACGAAAAATATATGCTGCTTGAATAAATGAAAGATAAATAAAAACACTCCCCACAAGGTTACAATCCTGCAGAGGTATGCGACTTGTAAACAACAGAATGAAATAACAGCTTTAGGAAGGATACTAGCAACAAAAAGGAGGAAGGGGTAATCAGCATTAGCTGGCTTTGGACTTTAATCACAATATATATTCAGAAATGTGCAGAGACTGCTGCAAATAAAGAAGTGTGTATAGGAGGAAAGTGGTATATTTCGTGCCTAATTTAGGGATTCAGAGATACACTTTCCCATGTCCCCATTATTCAGTCCCCTCAACACAGAGCCAAGACAAGACTGGAGCATAAACATCCTGGCTCTAATTTGGATAGTATGAATGCTGTTCCTTTCATCCTCTCTCATACATCTGCTCCGCCCCGAAGCCATTTCCTCTGTACTGTCTTCTGTCAGTCTAATGAAAGTTTCCTAATCTTTAGAAGCAGTAGCTTTGGTTCTCTTTGTGTGGAGAAGTACAATACACTCTGATTACATGGTTATATTCCATACAGATGCCTGGCAACACATCTTATAGCTAGGGGTCTGTTTAATATTTTAACTTTGAGGGACTTATAATTCAACTATTTTGCTAAATACCAAAATAGCACTTGACATCACAGAGATGGGCTTTACTTCCTTTTGCTATTTTAAATCCTGCACTTGAGAATGGTGAGTAGTTTGGGTTTTCTGGTTCACGGATTTTGCTTTGGCATTTTTTTTTTCCTTTGAGGAACAAAGGGGATAAGATTTTCAAGGAAGTCTTTCAGGTCTGCAGGTCTAGTACTCATGAAGCAGTTATTTCCTCCTAGGTACTCTGTCTATAATATTATGTGGTCATTAAAGGGGCAATGGGGGCTTATTTATGCTACATGATCCAAATAATCCAGTTTTTCTAAGGCAGGCAACTGGGAAATATGGTTGGCCCAGATGACCTTTAAGTTTTCTCGGTCTTGCTTTTTTACATATCATTTCCTTTTTAAAATTTTTTATTTTTAGCTAAAATAGTATGTTTTGTTGAAACAGCTTAACTTAAATGCTAAAGACAGAAATCACGCTAAAACATTTTTTAAAGAAAATAATTATTAATTGCTAATCCACAACCTCAACAAGTACTATTTAATCCAATCCTGCTTTCTCTTCTCCCTAAATTTGAGTAGAACCTCATTTCTAAAGCATCCCATATTCACACTTGAAGTTTTTCCATAAGCTTTAAGACTTTAGGCCAGTTTTGACATAAAACAACCTCTGAACTGTTATCTCCAGGGGCCCAGCATACCTCAGAATTAGCTATCAGGAGTGCAAAGGGATGACCTTGTCACTTTCTTTGATTTCCTACTTTCCTCTTTTCCAAGCCCCTCAAAAGGCAAATGGGGCTTACATTCACACAGAGGTAACTAAGTCAGTAGTATGAATCCTCTTGACCAGTTTCTGCAATCAGTATGTACTAGATCACTAATTCCTAAATCTCCTAACCCTCCAGAATCATATAAGAAGCTTGTGTGAGAAACACAGATTCTGGCCCCAGTCCCATATCTGCTGAATTAGAATCTCCAAGGTTAAGGAACACCAGGTTAAATTAATTCTAAGATTCTACTTTGTCAATTCTACATAGGGCAGTTTTCCCTTAGAAGAAAACCCTCTACTACCACACATTCATATAGGCTTCCCAAAAAGCATCAAGCAAGATATTATATGAACTGAAAATACCACGTCTGTTTGTAAATAACTTCATGATTTTTGTTTTCCTCAAAACAACCCCTCCAAAGAATAGTTCTTTCTGTTGACTGACTGACAATGAAAATCTGTAGGAAATTTGACATATACATACACAAAGACAGTAGATATTTTTCCCTCACAAGCTGAAAATTTTCTGTTCAGATAAAGTAAAGATTTTATTTATATCCTCACAGAATTTAATGGGGGAAATTAACTTAGTACTCCTAGTAGATATAATCAACTTAAGTTACAGGGTTATTAATAAAGATCTTAAGAACCTATCCTTTAAGATATAAATTAATTTTGTCAAGATAGTAAATCTCATTCATTTGGACTTTAGTGATTATTACTTTCTTAAGTGTTTTAATTGGGATTCTAACATAAAACTATAAATAAGTTATTAGTTTGTTAAAGTATTCAAGGGATAATGGAACTGAACTACTTCACTTATCCCCTTTATCATAGTAGAATCTATTTCCTGGCCTGAATACCATATAGTACCTTTCAGTCTCCTCTTCCAGGGAAGGGTATATAGTTCAGTGGTACAGTGTCTGCTTAGCATGTAAGAGGTCCTCGGTTCAATACCCTGTACCTCGTTAAATAAATAAATCTATTTACCGCCTTCCAAAGTACGTGAAAGATATAGCACATAAAATCAAGGCTCTTTTTCTACAATCAGCTTACAAAAAGGTTCAGTTGGACCTAGGTTCATTTCTTTCTTTGTTCTGTGATATTGTTTGGGGTTTTATGCAAAATACCAGGATATTTAGTGTTTATTTAAAGAAAGTATTAGGATAGCTTGATTGATAATGTTGGCAGGCTGGACCTGAGAGAGAATGAGATGGGACTGATGCTCTTTAAATGCATAAGAGACAAGAATAGGCTCAGAAAGACTCACTAAACCT